AGGAAAGACCCAAACTAGTTCCTAATCATTGCGGGTACAGTCAGGTTGTGAGAATTAGCCAGAACAATCTCTGGCCCTGTTTTACTTGGTAGCAGAGCTGTCTAGAGACCCATTTCAAGCACTTTTTCATAAGTATCTTTCAAAAAGGAAGCGGGTTTGTGCATTATGTCTGCTGTTCAACTGTGCAGTCTACTAAGCCTCAAGAAAGACATGGAAAAACTCACAAATTTATGAATCACCCAGATTTTTTAAATTATTTTTCATCCTAAAAACTTCCCCAGCTATCACAGAGACTAAACAAGACATTAAGCTGATCTTAGAAAGTACATTCCTACACAAAATATCAAGTTAACACTTTCATAAACGTGTCCTTTTACTTTGCATAAAGTATGCAAGTTTATTACTAAGGATTTTTTTCCAGCTCTTTTCTTGTTTATTGTAAGTTACTATATATAATGATATTACAGCTGCAGTTATGTAGTAAAGAAATTTTCAGAGTTCAAAAGATCTTCTTTCTTTCTTCTTTTCTTCAGTCAGTTTAATTTGCTAAAAGTGAAGTGTAATTGGACCTGCTCTCCAATATTGTATGTGTAAAAGACCAAAAATAGGAAATTAAGCTTTGTGTGACTTTAAGAATTGTCATCTTTAATTTAACCTTATAATTTTAAATCCTGATGGTAGGTAAAATACAAGAAGCAGTTCCTGTGTCCTGCAGGTGTATAGTGCACTGTTACTGCAACCTTTCTGAACTACTTTAGTATAGATACTGGTCTATGCCGCTGTACACAAGTCTGATAGTAGTCTCTTGTGTTTTGTCTCTTTGATGGTAATCAGTGTATGTAGACAACATTCTGGATTACACTCATCTTAACCTATGAAAAAAAAAAAATGGGAATCCATTCAGAAAACAGTACGTTTTCTCCTCTACTTTCATTTTAGAAACTATTTTAATAATAAATAAAGTGTTTGGGTTTTTTTATCATTAACAATGAGAGCATAGTGACCAGATTCAGCAATAAGTAAGTAACTAAGATCTGGACCATTTTTGTCATAAATAGAAATTAAAATGACTTAAAAAAAAGGTAACACAATAAATCTGAAATAATACTCTACTTTTACTGTACCTGAATATATACAGGAACAAGTAACTCTAATGAATCTTGACTGAATGAATTTTAGCTCATATAGCACATTCAATCCCAAGATAATTCTATGCATGTTATTATTTTTTCCGGTTGCTTATTAAATTATACAACAAAGAAGAGAAACATTAGGGGTTTTGCAGTATTTATTCCAATTTTTAATCTGATTCCTAACTAACAACTCATTAGTTGTAATTATTATAACTAACTTTGTACTTTGAAATACAGAGAAATCTGACCTGCAGAAAGACCATTTTTTAAGACAATCTCCTTGATATGAATGTTTATTTGTTCTATGTTGTTACTGTTGCTTGAATGACATTTATTTTTGTCTGGTCTTTTTCTTTTTTCTTTTGCCAATGTCAACACAGGTAAGTTTGAGAGAATTTTACTCTCTTCCATTTCTTGTTTTAGATGTATTCAGATGTGCAATTATATTATTGTACCACATATTTCTTATCTGAAAAGTGCAGTCTTTTGTTTGTTCTCTCATTCTTCCATACATTTTTTTCTAATCCTTTTTTTCCTTTAACTAAGAGACATGAAATATACAATACTTTCTCTAAAAATATGTCTCAGTAATATTACCACAATGAAACATGGCTTTGTTTTTTACCACCTTTCTGCTTCCTATATTCATAAGTTCTCAAATTTTAATACACAACACTAAGAATCATCTTTTTAATATTTTAATTTAGAATCTAAAAAAATTATCTAAATGATGATTCTAGAAGAATCATCTTTTTAATCCTTACCATAAGCTGTGCAGGTGATCGGCACAGTACTTGAAGTAGCAAGTTATATGTGATTATATCAGTGTCAATTCTTGATGGCATTAATTTACTGCTGTGACGCCATAAGAATACCTGGAGCTCCACATCCTAAACATTTCCCCTTGTCTCTGATAATGCATTCCATAAGGAAGTGCACTCTAAGATTTAGGAGATCAAGCTGGCACTCCCAAATAATGTTACCATTTTTAATATTTTCTTTTACAGGAAATGTGAAGATATCTTTTGTGTTGACTCCAACACTAAGTTTTCTTTGCTCTTACAACAAGCATTTTCTGCCAAATCATGATAAACCTTTTCCTGCCTTTCTCATACAGCTGATGAAAATTTTCTGAATACCAGGCTAAGAGAGCTCTCTTACAGAGCTAATAGTGTGATCACCAAAAACACATTAAAAGAGCACTATACTTGTAGTTATTTTTATTACTTAATGAACTCAAATGTGCTAAGCATTTTCCTAACACAGAAGCAGACCCCATGTCTTGGGTATTTACTGAAAAGAAAAAGACATAACCCAAGCACTGAAAAATAATCTAAAATATCTACAGAAGCTGCAGCTCTGTGAGGTGCATTATCTGAATAGTGATATTGCATAATAGAATTGTGTCATGGTTTAAGTGCAGTCAGTAACCCACGCAGCCTGCTCGCTCACTCCCTCCTTATTCCCCCCCCCCCCAAGTGCAGTCAGTAACCCACACAGCCTGCTCACTCACTACCCCCCTTTTCTTCTTCCCCCCCCACTCCAGGAGGGATGGGGAGGAGAATTGAAAGAATGTAACTCCCACAGGTTGAGATAGCAACAGCCCAGTAACTAAGGTATAACACAAACCACTACTGCTACCACCAATAATAATAATGATAAGGGAAATTGTTAACAAGGGAAGAGAATACAATACCACCCGTCGATACCCAGCCCAACCGAGCAGTGCACTAGCCCTTCTGGGTCACTCTCAGTTACATCCTGGGCATGACATGCTGTGGTATGGAATACCTCTTTGGTCAGTTTGGGTCAGGTGTTCCGTCTCTGCTTCTTCCCAGCTTCCCCTCCTCCCTGGCAGAGCACAAGTCTCAGAAAGTCCTTGGTCAGACTAAACATTTGAGCAGTAACTAAAACCATCAGTGTTATCAGCACTGTTCCAAGGCCAAAAGTCAAAAACACAGTACTTCACCAGCTACTAAGAAGGAGAAAAAATGACTGCTACTGCTGAATCCAGGCCAAATTGTTATTGTCTGAGCACCAGTGCCTCCTGCAGTTCTGTTTCTAAAGTTCTGGGTATGTGAGCCAAGAAAACAGGGGCTCCAAATATCATCACACATCATAAAAAAAAGGCAATAATGAGAGGTGTGAGAAAAAAAGAATGAAAAAAAGTCAATTAGTATTACTTTTTTCCCTAACTTTTCTATTGTCTTGAAGTCCTCGATGGATTCTCCGTTTATACTACAAGGCTTTTTGATTTGTTATTCATTTATGAATGGAGGCTAATTGATATTGATCTCAATGCCTTGTTTATTATCATCTCCTGAGGAACAAATTATTCTATGGTGATATATCTGGGATAAATTGTGGTCCTGGAGGAAGAATCAATATACATACGAAAGTCTGAAGGAACAGTTCTGCTTTGAAGCACATTAAGAAAGATTAATTTGGAAGGCATGGATAAAGACATAGGAACAGGACACCTATGAAGAAATGGTAGTGATAGGAGCTATGAAAGATAGGAAAGAAGAGAAGGTTGCTAATGCCACAGGTGGTAATACTTGGAAGTGAAGCTACCATCTCTCCCTGTCTAGAGTGATGGACCTGTCTAAAATCAAAGATGCATGTGCAGGGAGGATTAAATACTTCCTTACTTGTTTTGTAGCTTTGCCAGTACCTAGAAAAAATCAAGAGATAGAAAAAAGCACAGCAGTCAAAGCTGCACTTTATGTTAAAATAGACAAAACCCTCTATACAAAAGAGTGTATACAAATACTGTGTTACAGGATATCCAACAGAAACACGTAAGTCCTTTGCTATTCTGCTTTGCTGCATCATTCCCTCCAGGATGCTGGAATATAGCCCGACCATACTGGGGATTTACAACAAAACAAAGGAGCAAATAAATGGCTGTATCAACAAGGGCTGAAACAGCCACTGCAATCTGATGTTGGGTTTCAAAGCCTTAACACAGTTCTTTAACACTTAAATTTACATTCCCTTGGACCAACCACTGTCCTGAGGCCATGACTTTTGCTGCTTTGGCACCTTTTTTTAAAAAAACTGAGAATATCCCAGTCACTGTGAATAGTAGCACTGAATACTGATAATCCATTTTAAATTTTGGCCTGCAGGAGAACAAGAACAAAACTTAAATTTTACTGATTTTTCCTCTGCTTTCTACTCATTTTTCAGGAAGACAGGTACAACAGAGAAAATAATATATTGATTAGCATAGCACAAAAAGTCTTACTTTTTCATTTTTTTCCTGAGTCTCCAGCACTCTTTTACCATCCATGCTACAAACATGAAACAGAATGAAGCAAAAAACCATAGATCCACAAATCTAAAATATTATTCTGCATATTTCCAGACCAACTGGAATTTAAATTCATATTCATGAGTTACAACTTCCTAAACACATGCCTAACACAGCAATATCAAATTTGTGGGTCACATATGTTACCTCTGAAGCCTTAATTATGGCATCAGTTTTGCATACTATATCTTCAGCAGACTCAAATGTTTGTCTTTGTTACCTGAAGGAGAATTGTAGGTGAAGTTCAGCTCAGAGCATAGTGACTTCTCAGAGGCTTGAATGGGCACTGTTATACAGCACAGAATATTCCCAATTTAAAATGTTAAATATATTGCTAATTATAATCAAAACCTTTGAAAACTGAACAATGAAAAAATAGTCTGGGGACTTTCTTGTCTAATCAGAACTGAGAAGAAATTACAGTAAAAGTGCATGTCATATTAACTTTAATATAAAGAAAAATTAGAAGAGTTTTACAATTATAGCAAGTTGACTAATACATGCTTATTAAAAATATAATTATACATCTGCTCTGCTTTGACCATTTTTAGGGGTGCTAGAACTGGACAGTGGGAGAAATATTGTAAGCTGTGAGACTGCAGTGTCACCATGCTTTCATGGAAAGCCACTTAATTTTATGTATGGACAGGTTTCTGAAGTAGGCTGCTCCTATGCCAGAGCAGACCAGTGTAATCAAACAAGTCCTTCTTTGGAGAGTGGTAAGTACAATAAAAAAGAAAGTAATATATTTACTGAACAGCAATAGAATGTTTTTTAATAACACTCAGTTTGAAGTATTGTCGAGTCTTTCTTAAGGAGTAATGGAAATGCTACGTAAGTAGAAATATGAAAATATTATTTTCTTCAGCAATAAAATGAATGATAGAATACTTTATTACTGTTGCCTGAAAATTTATACTGACAAATATATCCAAATAATTCATTGCATGACAAAGAACATTGTCGTGTCTTGTCAAAGAAAACCATAATTTTAATTTGAGATGAATTGTACTTTACTAGCTGGTACAGACTTCACAGACAATAGATCTGAGTAACGAAACTAATTTAAAGAAAAGAGCTAAGATATTACTTATTTTGTTGCTGTTACCTGATTATAACAACTTAGTTCTTTATCAGGGTTGCTAGCATTTTGAAGAACGTATTCTGCATTAACTGATTCATTTTACAAAAGTAAATAGCTTCCCTAATATCAAGCTTTAAAGTTTAAGTATACCTCAATGTACCCAAGTTGCTTCGAATACAGGAGGGAAAAAATAATTCTGTCATCCTCTGCTCTGCAAGAATTGTTCTAAAGAATTATGGTCCTCCTGGAGACATTTTATTCACTCATTTTATCTGAATCATGCAAAGCATGTTACTAATAGAATAAGTCCTGAAAGGGTCTCACTTTGTTTAAGTAGAATAGGTCTGAGTCAGTGTGGTACTCACTAGTGCAATGACATGACGTGTAAAAATGGAATTCTCTTAATCTCTTTCACACAGGAGAAAGTGGGGTGTGAAATTACTTCCAAAGAGGACAAACAGCACCTTACAAGTCACTCACTTTGATGTTTAGGGATAGTTTTGTTCTCAGTTAGGTTGAAGTGAACCCAGTGCATGATGTTCTGACATAACTGAGAGAAAGATCACTTCAGACCTCACTCACTGTCCACTCTTCCACTCATTTGGAACAGTGACAAGTACAGAGGAAGCACCTGGAGAAGAAAACCCACAACAACAAAGAAACAAGGAAAAAAAGAAAAAAGGAACAACAGTAACAACAACAAAAAATAAATCTAGAAAACAAAAGTCTTAAAAGGGTATCATTTTCATATTTTCATTTTTCAGAGGATCTCTTCTACTACTCAATGATTGCACTGAGGTTAAGAAATCAACAGAGATTGGGCACTCAGGGAAATAGAAGACTTAAAAGACTGACCCAAATGGGTATTTCTTTGCCTTCATAACTTTTGCTCAGAAAATCCAAGTATGGAGTAGGTTTTCATTTATTTGATAAAGAAGTCAGTTGCTTCGATTCTTCCCCTTAAGATAAAAAGGGTGTTAGAAAGAAAACCACTAAATATACCAATACAGTAATAGTAATCCTTTTCTTTTGCACATTTTGATTGTCAGAAACTAATGAGAAACCAAATATATCCTAATCCTTAAAGGTTCCAAATCACATTAAGCCTGATGCAAATTAGCTTAGAATAGGATTGAATATCTAATGGTATCCATTATAATAATGAGAAAAGACATGAAACAAAGCGGAAATAGGCAGTTACTCATATTTAACAAGTAGGACATACATCTTACTAAGTTAATGCAAACTCACTGAAAGTGTTGAGTAAGGGACTAATTTTTAAAACATTATTTGTTTTATTTTAAATATATGTTGGATTTCTTTGTTTTCTTTCATTTCTCTCCTTTCAGCTGAAATTCATAATCTTTCCAACTGAGAAACAAAACAACCCTTTTTTTTAATGTTGCTATGAAAAGTGGAACGCTTCCTCTAAGGAAAGGCAGTCTGCCTGGTTAGTTGATCAGGTATTTCTTATCAGAATAAGATATGGATTATGACAAACAAATTATGGATTATGACAAACAAATTATGGATTATGACAAACAAAACTTGCTGGTGCTAGAGCACACCTCCATTGACATGTTTTTAGAGATTACAAAAGCATCCTGAAATCACTACTGACACAATAGTTACTGCAAAAATGAAATTTAGAGTTCCATCATTCCAAGAGACTCATATAAAATGAGGTAGAGGAAAGAGGATGGGAACTGAACAGGAAGTTTCTCTTAAATTTTTCAGTAAAGGTTAAATTCTCTAATGTATTGTACATATAAGTATTAAATCCTGAGTTTATTTTATTTTTACTGTATTTCCTCAGTCCTCTAGACAGCTGCTATCTCGCACCTGGAGAAAAACCTAACAGAGTTTCTGTGGGATGCCTGATATCTGTAGCTTGTTTCATGGCTAGACTTAGTAGAAAGACAATGTCTAATCTGCAAAACCACAGCGGGACTGCTCATATATTTTCTATTGTCAGATTAGAGACTACTGAGCATATATTAGATTTCATGACTAGATGATACTTGTTGTGAGGAAAAAATGGAACAAAGAACAGAAAATATGCAACAGGAAGTTGATGTAATCTCTTCCATAACTGTAAATCCATTGTCATTTTCTGGCAGTGAAACACCTACCTTAGTGCCAGGGATTTTAATTCAAGTGAGGCCATACTGCATTTGTTTTTCCTGAATAGTCATATTAAATTGATTAGTAAAAACCTAGACAAATTTGAGTAGTTAGAGATTTTCTTTCCATCACACCTGAAACAGAGAGAGAAAAATGAAGGACTGAAAAAGGGATGTTCACAAAAAGCCTTCCCAGCTGTGACAAAATGAATTCAAGGAGGCAGTACTTTGATTGTGAGTTCTGTGGAACAGCAGAGTGTGACATGCCAAATATTTAAAGTTTTATTCCTGACAGGTCACCCATTTTTAGAGAGAGACAGTTCGAGACCAAATAATAGAGCTATGCTTATATAAAAAGATCAGATCCTCAGCTGGGAAAATGAGTAATAATAACAAAAGCATCAGCAGTAGTAAGTGTACTGTCACTTTATCTAGAGAAGTTTATTTTAGGATTATCAAAAGGCAAGGATCTCCCATACAAACACAGAACAAAAATACAAAATGAAAGAACTGATGAGTATGAATACTTTTCCAGCTTGGAAGAGCGTACAATGGAAGCACGAGGAAGAAGTAAAAGATGAGCACAGACACACAGCGGAATTTGAGGAAACAGTAAGCCTGAACAGATCGTTGTGATAGGCAGCAGAGACTACGCATGAGTGCTCTTACCACAGCACTGTGGGCACTGCTCCAAAAAAAGGGTTTTAATGAAGGGTTTGAAAGCAAATAATAAAAGCATTACACAGACATATCAAGTCTCCTGCCTGGATGGAGAGTGCCACAGTGGAGAATTACATCTGTATTCATTTGAATATACTGATGTTTATTCATATCAGCACAGTCTCTGACAATTAAGTATAAATAAGACAAAACTGCTTACAAAATAAGTGTTTCTCTCTTTCAAAAATCCAGAAAATACTCTCCTACAATAGGACTGTTAGCTATCCATAGATACATATATTTTTTGAAGAATCTAGTATTTACATGGCCATGTCAGAAAGCCTGCAGTGCTGTAATAATGTATAATACATTACTGGGGAAGCAGATTCCTGAGGACATCAAAGCCTGCTCTCCTGAAACCCAGTGCTGTGGTTCTGCTTTTTACCCTGCTCCCTCCTCCCTTCCTGTCATCTGAAGAAGGTCCCAGCTACCACTTCTTCCCAGTCAAGAGGTCTATAGCAGATGCCCACTGCAAAAGCACCTATGCTGGTCTGACTGCTACTCTTCACAACAAGCTCTCATCTGGCTCTTTACTCAACCCCAGACAGAACTCCATGCACTTCAGCTTCTCTGTCATGGAAACGGCAACTCAAAGGGTAACTCCTCCTCCTTGCCTTCCTCTCTAAGGAGCCTGTAGTCATCTACCACAGGACTCCAGCTGTTTGTGCAGTCCCAGCACATTTCATTGAATCCAGTGAAGCTGTAACCCTGTGACTGTACACAGACTTCTAACTCCTCCTGTTTATTCTCCATGCAGCATGCAGTAGAGACATTTTTAAGAATGCACTGGATTTGTATGACAAAGTTTTGGTAGCAGGGCAGGCTATAGGGGTGGCTTATGTACGAAGTTTCCAGAAGTTTCCCCAATGTCCCGTACAGTCAGTGCTAGAGGGTTCCAAGATGGACCTATTGACCAGAGCTGAGCCCATCAGCAATGGTGATAGCACCTTTGTGATAACATATGTAAGAAGGGGTAAAAACTGCTGCACAATAGCAGCCGGAGGAGGGAAGTGAGAATATGCGAGAGAAACAGCACATAGAGGTCCATGGTGGAGCAGATTCCATCTGCAGCCCAGGGAGGACCTCGCATCAGAGCAGGGAGATCCCTGAAGGGGGCTGTGACCCATGGGAAGCCCATGCTGGAGCAGGCTACTGGAAGGAGCTGTGGCCCTCTGAAGAGAGGAGCCTGCACTGGAGCAGGTTTGCCGCAGGACTTGTGACCCTACTGGGGACCCGCACTGGAGCAGCCTGCTCCTGAAGGACTGCACCCAATGGAAAGGACCCACACTGGAACAGTTCATGAAGAACTGCAGCTCATGAGAAGGGTCCATGTTGAAGAAGATTGTGAAGGACTGTCTCCCATGGGAGAAATCCCATGGTTCAGCAGGGAAGAGTGTGAGGAGGAAGGAGCAGCAGAGACAAGGTGTGATGAACTGACTGCAACCCCTAATCCCCATTCCCCTGTGTTGCTTAGGGGAAGGAGGCACAACCCAGGAAGAAGGGAGGGGTGCATGAAAGTGTTTTTTTTAAGATTTTGGTTTGTCATTATTCTAGTCTCATTTGATTGCCAGTATTTTAAATTAATTTCCCCAAGTCAAAACTGTTTTGCCTGTGGCAGGAACTTGTGAATGAACTCTCTGTCCTTATCTCAACCCATGAATGTTTTGTTGTATTTTTCTCCCCCTGTCCAGCTGAGGAAGGGGAGTGACAGAGTAGCTTGCTGGGCACTTAAGATCCAGGCAGGCTCAACCTGCTATAGAGAGGCACCCAAGTGGCTGATTCCACAGTACTGGCTTGAGACCTTTCCCCACAGGGGTGTTCCTTCTTTACACACCTCTGCTCAAAGAGATTGAATTCTGTTTTGTTGGTTAGTATGTCCCTTCTGCTCCCCTCACACCAGGCCTTTGCCTTAGCTACCCCACCCACGGCTTCTACACTCGTTGAGGAATCTCGCCCTCCCCAGTCATTCCTAGCTTTAAGCTCTCTCTTCCCACTTCTTACCTGCTGTCCTGGGTTCAGCAGTAGCAGTCATTTTTCCCCTTCTTGGTAGCTGGTGCAGTGCAATGTTTTGACTTTCAGCTCGGGAACAGAGCTGATAACAAGCGATGTTTTGGTTTGGCCAAGGACTTTGTGAGCCTCATGCTCTGCCAGGGAGGAGGGGAAGCCAGGAGGAAGCAGAGACAGGACACCTGACCCAAACTGACCAAAGAGGTATTCCATACCACAGCACGTCATGCCCAGGATGTAACTGGGAGTGTGCCGGAAGGGCTGGGAGTCGGCAGGGTTGGAGGAGGTATCAGTCAGAGCTTGGTTGGGCCTGGGGGGCGAGTTATCGGTCGGCTGGTGGTGAGATGATGTATTCTCTTCCCTTGTTATTTCCTTTATCATTATTATCATTGGTGGTAGCAGTAGTGATTTGTGTTATACCTTAGTTACTAAACTGTTCTTATCTCAACCCGTGGGAGTTGCATTCTTTTCGATTCTCCTCTCCGTCCCCCCGAGAGCAGGGGGAGGGCAAGAAAGGGGGGGGAAGTGAGCGAACGAATTACCTGACTGGGTTTAAACCACGACACCTGCCATACCAGGCTGTTTGCAAAGATAGCTTTGCCCCACATAGTCAGGTGGATCCCATATCTTTCAAATAGCTGTTGACCCCCAAAGAGGTTCCAGAAATGCTTTTATTACCTTTACTCTCACCTTGAATACTATATACTAATTTTACATACTCAGAGACTCTTTTAAATCCTTCATGTTATTTTCAGATGATATGAGATGTTTGATTCATTAAATTTACAAGAGCTATGTGCTAGGTTTCTTATTCAGTATGACTATTTCTCTGTATAAAATATTAAACAACACAACCATTAGTTGTAAAGGGGATATTGATTCTACAATTTCCTGTGTTCTCTCAGTAAACATTCTGGAAATCTCAAATATTCATTCCCAAACACATTGTTTCCAATGTGAAAGGATGGTATGCAATTACCACATTCAAAGACCCTCTTGGCAAATGATTACAACTGCAAACTAGACAAGGCATTTGATTTAATACCTTGTCTGGG